GCAGCAAGTGGGGATGGCAGGATTTGGGCTGCTTGCGCTGCTGAGTGGCGTCCAATGATGCGGCGCGTGGGTCGCGCCATGGCTTTGAGCCGCTCTGCGTTGCTGCCTATACATGTGTACACCGCCCGTTGTCACGACCATGTTCTGTGCCTTCCGGAGTTCCTCCACCCAGCACCGCGCCGCCGCACCACCCCGCGCCGCCCCTCAGGCCAGGGAGCGGACCGACGACGGCGCCGCCCTGGCCCGCGTCGCCGCGCGCGCGGTCGCGGAGGCCGCACGCGCGCGCGGCTCCACCGACAACGTCACCGCCGCCGTGATGCTGTTCGACTGGGCCGGCCCCACCCAGTAGGCCACACCTGTTGCGGGGGCGCTACCTGCGCCCCGCTCTCGCCTCTGTTCGCAAGCCCGACCTTCGCCTTTGTTTGGCGCTGAGCGGCGCCGGCCGCCAGCTCCGCCCCGGCGCGGCGCCGACGCCGCGGTTGGAGCAGACGACGGCGTGATCACGATACATGATCTGCGACCCAGCAGGCAGTTGAAAGGCGTTTCCGACGCCTATTCAGGCGCGCGGCCCCCTCCAGCCCGCCAGGGCGCCGCGACTTGGGCCCGGCCTCAAAATTCGGTGTCCCTCATTCGTTGTTGAGAGGAAACCCAATGACACCCGACCTCGCGCGGGTGACGCGAGCTGTACCGTATGCTCCCAGTGTTTTATATTCAATGGTTTGAAGCCGGGACCCCTGGACCCTGCTGCAGCCGACCCCACCGCCCGCCCCTTGCCTGGGTCCCCTGACCGCCGCCCGGCCCTGCGTGCCGTGTCGCCCAATCTCACTGTTTCCGAGGTGCCCGCACCGCCTGGCCCGCGCGACTCTGGCCCGCGCCAGGGGCCGGCCAGCGTTTTGGAAGACGGTGCGGGCGGCGACTTTGACGGGCCTGAGCGCGGAAGGCAGAGGAGATTGGTGAGGGCAGCTCGACTTTGTTTTCATCCCGGGACTCAAGCTGCGGCCGCTGCCCCCTTTCATTTTTGTCAATGGATGGTGCTCTTGCATGCAGCAGAGATCACATTTTTGAGTGCAACAGGTAGAACGATGTACCCGCCCCGGCCCCATCTGCCTGCCGCTCAGGCTGATGGCGCGTGCCTTGGGGCCGCAGCACTTTTCAGCGCCCCCAGGCAGGCTCCTGCACGCCGCCGGTGCCTCTTGCGGCGCTCCACTCCGCACCACCGCCGGCTGCAACCAGCGGAGCTTGCTGCTGCGCACCCGCGAGAGCGGGGAGCGCGCTGCCACTAATCGCCACTGCCATCCGTTTCGAGCCACTTGGCGCCGCGACTGGGCGCCAAGCTCGCCGGCCCACTGCCCGCTACGTACGTTCGAGCCGGCCACCCCGAGTCCGTTGACAGCGTATGTGCCCCCCACTTTCTCGGTCTCACGAGCGCGGCGGCCCCTCGCACGCATGCGGCGCCGCAGTGCGCACATGCGCCAACTTGAAGGGGGCCGTTCACCGGGCGGCCCACCGCCGCGGCGTTTGACGGCGTCTTTTTGGCCCGCCTCCCTGGCGGGCACAGGCAGCGCGCCGCCGTCGGCTGCTGCCCAGGGCTGCGGCACGCCTGCACCGGTGTGCCATGGGCCCCGCGGCGTGCAGCAGTGTGCAGCAGTGTGCGTGAAGCTTTTGCGCCACAGGAGTATCGCCCGCGCCGGTCGCGGCTCCTGGATGTGCAACCTCAGCTGCTTCCGCTGTTGCGCGCGCGTCCAGACCTGCACACACATACAGCTCGCATCCCAGTGACAGCCCTGCCAGTAGCACCCATCTTGGACACCACTTAGGCTGGGTGGAAGGTGCGGGAGGGCAAGGTGGGGGCATTGGCGCAAGAGCCTGAGTGCGGCAGCCAGAGCGCGCTCTGTGCGTGGCACTCTCGTCACCACCGCCGTCGCCGGCGGCTTCCGCCGACTGCCCGGCCGTTCACCTGCCCCGGCCCCGCGCTCTGCTATGCGTGCCCCGTTGCCACCGATGGATGGGGCCGCATGTCCGACCCCGACAGACCCCTTATGCGAAACATCGATCGCAGTCAGGAACGGCATCAACCAGTCATGAAATGATGTGCCGGTTGAGAGGGCCCGTAAGTGGTACCACTCCACTGCCGACACTACTTTAGGGCTTTCCTGCTGACCAGCATGATGGTTGGTTTTTTGTGGTTGCGCAGCTCCCCAGCGCCCTCCGGCAGTGCAGCGCGCGCATCCATCAATTAGGTGCCAGCCAACCTCCACAGCTGCGACGACCCCTGAGCATTTCTTCCCAGCCCAGCCGCCCTGCTCGGCGTTTTGACCGCTCCGCTTCCGCGCACTCAATTTTGCCCCTCTCACTCGCACGGTCGGCCCGCCAGCTGCTGGCGTGGCTCTTCTGGCTGTCATTCTGGCCCACCCCTGCAGTGATGCAACCTGCAGGGAACAAAATTACGTACACAACCCCCAGAAGATGAAGGGAGCCGCACTTGTGGTGCGGCGTTGCTGTATGTCCTGATCACACGCCTTTCGGCACAAGAGCCTTTTTTGTCGTGCCCGTTGGGCAGCCTGGCGTAGCCCCTTGAGCCATGATCATGGCAGATGCTTGGCCGCAGATGTTGCTGGCCAAGCGCGTGGCTCTCACAAGGTTGAGCTGCCCCACAGCTGCAGCCGCCCAACTGCCACGTCCAGCCTGCTACATGCGCACTATTCTGTGAAGTGTCTCCCCGCCAGAGCCGCCCCTGCGCCCAATCATATGTTTTTTGTGCTGCATTTTGCCATGCACGCAGGTTTTGTGGTCCCGGCGTGTTGTAAATGCAAGGAAAGGGCAGTGAGCACGCCAGGCGTGGTGCGTGGTGGCAGGTGTGGTGGTTCAGGTACACACAGCAACGCCCAACCGACGCCAACCGAACGCGCTGCCAAAGCGCATGTGTGCACGCCCTAGGCATGCGGCCGCGCCTGCATTGTGACCCAAACTGAAACCTCTGCTTGGCTTGTACCTGTCACTTTGACAACGCAGCGGGATGCAGCCCACCACGCCTTGCATGTGTTGTGCCTTGCGTGGAACAGCGCCAAACACATATCACATCCACGCATTAATTTTTGCAGATTCAATCTCAGCGTGTCTGAAATTCGTCCGGGTGCATGCAATCCGGGAGGGCACCCAGGGTGACCGGCAGTGGCCTTCTGGCATTGTGCTGTCCTGGCACTTGATCTGTGTGGCCGTGCCAACGGGGCAGCACGTCTCAATCATTTTGCATTCACCGTGGTCGCCGCGCACCATCGCTCTTGCCAGACAGCTGCCCGCCCAGGATTGCAGCACTTCTACCTGGGCACCCGTGAGGTTCCAAATAAGCGTGCGTTGATTGCGCGTGATTGATCTACAGGGGTGAGAGCCAGCGGCTGTGCGATCGCAGAGTTTCCGCTCCGTCCACGTTCATTAGGCGCCCAGCGCCGACGCCCCTGCTGCTGCAGTGACTGGCCAACCTGGCGGGTAGGGTGGACCCATGTATGGTGTATGCAGGTGGTTGCATCAGGCGTCCGGCAAGCCTCAACCCAACTGACGCATTCCAGTACACGCCAACCACCCCTCATCACAACCAACAGGGCCCGCCCCAGACGCTGCAATGAGCGCGAGAGCTGCGGGAGCGGCGCTGCTGCTGCTCGCGGCTGCGGTGTGTGGCGCCGGAGCACTGGAGCTGGTGCAGCTGTCGTCCTCGAATTTTGAGCACGAGACGCAGGCGGCTACCGGGCAGACAACCGGCAGGTAGGTCTGGTGCTGCAGGGCCCGTCCAGGGTGCGATGAGGCATCGCATCGCACGCCACCCAGCCTGCCAGCCTCCGGCACCCAGGCCTATGGCCTGTTCCCTACACCCACGTGGCCAACTCTGCCGTGTCAGACACGGGCACGGCGCACGCAAACGTCACCCCCGCCTCCGGCGCTCTGCCCGCGGGCCGCCCTCATCGCAGGTGGTGCGTGTTGTTTGTGGAGCAGGCAGCGGCGGGGGCCGAGGGCGCCGAGGCGGCGTGGGACACGCTGGCAGCTGAGGTGGAGGAGATGGAGGTTGAGCGGCAGGCGGTGTTTGCAAAGGTGGGGACCGGGGGCCGTGTCCCTGGTTGGAGATGTGGGCGGTTGGGGCGCGTGAGGTGGGGGTTCGATTAGGTGTGTACCTGGTGGTGGGGTTGGCTGTTGGTAGGGGTGGGGCAGCCCTTGGCTGCAGGAAACCACTCTGATGTGCACAGCGCGAGAGCAGCACATGCTGCGGCGCGCAGGTGCAGCAGCATGCCTTGGCCGTGGCGGCGGCTGGTGGGATGGTCGCGCTCTGCCCTGGCCCTGTCCAGGTCCTCACACATGCACATTGACATGATGCATCCCTGCGCCTCTGGCACCCCACTCCGCCATTTCCAAACCACCTGTGCACCAACCCCTCACTGCCCCCCTCTTGCCCTGGACCGTCCCTCATCCACCCAAAGGTGGATGTCTCCACCAACCCCGAGCTGGCGCGCCGCTTCGCCATCTCACAGCACCCGGCCGCCATTCTCTTCCGCGACCGCGCGGTGCGGCACACGCGCGCGTGCGCCCTCTCATGCATGCATACTGCCGTTGCCCGAGCCCCTCTACCGCAGAGCACGCCAGTGCCCAGCCGCCTGCAGCTCCTGCAGGCGCCCGGCGCCCCCGTCACCGACCGGAGCACGCGCCTGGTTTTGCAGTGGCGCTGTCGTACGTGCTGCCCGCGTCGTCCCCAATCACGCCTCGCCCACGCTGCGCCTGCTGCTACAGAACAGCACTCCCACCCGTCCGCCATCCCCACCCCCCAGATGTACCGCCTCCCTGCGCCCCTGCCTGCTGACGAGGACGAGGCCAGGCACCTGGCCATGGACTTCCTGGCAGGTGGGCGGGGGCGGAGGGAGGATGGAGGCGGGACGGCTCTCTTGCGCCTCGTAGAGCGCCCGGCCGGGAAGCATGTGAGATGCACTCATGCTCACACATGTTGCGCATACGCACGAACAAAGTCACATCCCGCACATCTGAGCGTGCGTGCGCACACCTACAGACACACGCACGCGCGCACGCATGCGCACACACGTGCGCGCGCGCACACACACACACACATACATGCAACCAACACCTGAGCACAACACAACCACTCTTAGGGGGCTGGGAGTCTGTTGACCCGGAGGACGTACCGCCAGAGGCGGCCC